CTTTTTCACTCTCCTTGTAAAAAGGAGAGTGTTAAAAGAAAGATGTTAAAATAATTAGGTTTATTTGATTTGTTAAATTACATGGGAAACATTATCAAATGAGAAGTGATGCCAAATCTTCTTAACTATATTTTTACAGGTGTATCTAGAAATTATATGAAATTCCTAGAAATCTGATATGTCATGGTATAATGTTATCAGTCATAATTCTAGTTGTTATATTAAAATGTTGTATGTCACAGAAATAACCAAATTTCTTTGTCAATTGTATTATAATGATATGTCATAAGGTCTTTAACCATAGCCATTTTAAAGTCTTTTGTCGTTTACAGTTACTGTTTTACTCTGAGACTTTTGCAATAGTGCTTCATCTTCAAGGACATTCATGGAAAGGACTTTATCAATCACAGATTTTTAATAACTTTAAGATCATAAGAGTGAACTGGGTAAGAATTTGCAGAATTAACAGAAAAACAGGATTCAAGGAGAACAACTATTAACTACACAAGACTGAATGAACATAATTTTTTGTGACTTTTTCTCTGTAACAATGCTGGTTCCTTAATGTTTTGTTTTGTTTTGTTTTTCCCCAGATTTATTTATTTTTTTAAATATTTTATTTATTTAGTTGACAGCACAAGCAGCGGGAGCAGCAGGCAGAGGGAGAGGGAGAAGCAGGCTCCCCACTGAGCAAGGAGCCCGATGTGGGGCTCGATCCCAGGACCCTGGGATCATGACCTGAGCTGAAGGCAGACGCTTAACCGACTGAGCCACCCAGGTGCCCCTCCCCAGATTTAAAAAATCTTTTCTCTTAAGTGATCTATGACTTACAGCAATTTGGGAAGGTATAACTTGGTAAACAAAGATAAAACATTTACTTTTCTTCCCTACCCAATCCCTCCAGAATTCAGAAACTTTTGAGTATTCTTTTCATGGCAATACAGTTAGTTATTTGCATAAGTTCAGTAAGAATCTGTTTTCCTTGTAACAGGACACCATTGGAAACACTGGTTATATTGCCAAGGCTTTGACTGGAGTGTCATATTTGAGAGAGACAGGCATAGACTCAGATATGACCAGACAGCTTTAAAGACCTAAGGTTGATTTTATGGAGCCAATAAAGCCCCTTGGAAAAACTGACCTGGTACCTTGCTTACAGGGTTCCTGGCAACTTAACTAGATGAGTAGGGAAGGTCACTTCCCAGCAGGCCCAGGAACCTGAGAATATTTTTGGGAACCTTGAGAAGAGAGGAATTCACCCCAACTACAGATATTGCCAGTAAAATCTGATGGCAAGTCTGTGGTTTGGCTTCTTGGCCTCAAGAGGTTTTAAGAGATTAATCAGAAATTCCTTATGTAAAATTCCAACAGAGGGCGCCTGGGTGGCTCAGTTGGTTAAGCGACTGCCTTCGGCTCAGGTCATGATCCTGGAGTCCCGGGATCAAGTCCCGCATCGGGCTCCCTGCTCGGCAGAAAGCCTGCTTCTGCCTCTGACCCTCCCCCCTCTCATATGCTCTCTCTCTCTCATTCTCTCTGTCTCAAATAAATAAATAAAATCTTAAAAAAAAAAAAAATTCCAACAGAAGAGGCTTAAAAAGAGCTTAAATGGTCAATTGCTATTCCTGTTGCATTTATGTAAATAATCAGGCCAAGTTTAACACAAACAAATTAGCCTTACTATGATCATTTTTGTAAAAACTGGGGGTGATTTCTGGGGTGCCTGGGTGGCTCAGTTGGTTGAGCATCCAACTCTTGATTTTGGCTCAGGTCATGATCTTAGGGTTGTGGGATCGAGCTCCACATCAGACTCTGTGCTCAGTGGGGAGTCTGCTTGAGATTCTCCCTCTCCCTCTTCTTCTGTCCCTCCCTCCCATGCTCTCTCTCTCTCAAATGAATAAATAAATCTTTCTTCTTTAAATGGGGGTGGGGTGCCTGGGTGGCTCAGTCAGTGGGGCATCTGCCTTCGGCTCAGGTCATGATCCCAGGAGCCCTGGGATCCCACCATGATCCCACCAGCCCTGCATCAGGCTCCCTACTTAGCGGGAGCCTGCTTCTCTCTCTCCCTCTGCTGCTCCCCCTGCTTATGAGTGTTCTCTCTCTTTCTCTCTGTCAAATAAATAAATAAATAAATAAATAATCTTTTAAAAAATTGGGGGTAATGGCAGAGAGAAAAATTATTTGCACCTCTCTAGGTATAAGATTCTAATTCCGTTAATTGTCTTTACAGTTTTATTATACACCTACAAACTGGACTGGATCCTGAATTCTTTTAGGTTCCTCAAATATCAAGCTATGACTCTCCAAACTGACTTTTTAAATTTTCTCCCATTTTTCTGAATTGGAATTATTAAGAACAAAGACTATCCTTGAATCTCCTTGGAAGGGGCTATACCAGGTCTTCCTTACTACCCTTTCGTCAGTTAAACTTCAGGGACTTGAACTTTGGGACCACATCTCCCAATTAAAAAGGTCCTCTTCAGATTCTAGGAATGGCAGTCTAGCTGGAGACTTCAAAATAAAAAATAACCAGGAAGAGAAGTAGCTGACATCAAGGTAGCCTGCTTCCTTACAAGATACGGGATCAAGAGGATCAAGAACATTTCTTTCCATTCCTCCTTCCCTCTCTGACCATCCTTTTCCTAATTCTTACACCACAAAGGTCTTTGTGATTCTTTTGTCCACCTTTTGCTCTGGCCTGGAAAGATAATGCCATTGTTCACATATCTCAGGCCATTGCAAAGGGGGTTAATCCAAGCTACAAATGACTATTGGATGTGTCATGATGTTGGTGACCCTGTAGTTTTGCCCATCACAAACTTCTCCCTAATTTCCAATGCCTCAGTTTCTCTGAAACAAACTCAACCCCCTTTCTATCATATCAGACTCTCTAACCCTCAGGGTCCATTTCCCTGTCTCTGGTTAACAATCCCAAACCTGGGAACCTTGCATCTAGGCTTTGTACAAAGAAAAGGGTAACCAGGATAAAATTGCCTGTGTGGCCTACAGACCCCTAAGTTTTACTAGCCTCCATGGCTGTCACTTTTCCAGTCGCAAGCCACAAACTCAAATGGAAATTATCAGGAAGTATTCATGATTCAAAATCAGCTTCCTTTGGTAGATCACTGTTCCCCCAGCTAGGAGTAAGTGCAAATGAGGCTATGATCAGGAACCTCTCCTTAACTCTTGGCGATATTGCAGAATCTGTTGCTAATGCAATAGCTGTCCAACAAAAATCCTTAGACTTTCTGACCAAGGTTGTTCTTGATAATAGAATAGCCTTTGATTATCTTTTAGCTGAGTGAGGAGCTGTTCGTGGCAAACACCACCGGGTGCACTCAGATTAATACTTCTGGGGAAGTTGAAACTCAGTTACGTTAGATCACTGAATAAGCCACTTGGCTCAAGAAAGTGACTCCTTCAATGTGGTCTTTCTTCAACGTATGTGATTTTGATTGGTTTGAGTCTTGGGGGAATATGGCTCCAAAGTGCATTGCAGACCTTGAGAATTCTCCTGCTTATAGAAATCATAGTAGCCTTCCTGGTATGCTGTCTTCTCTCAAAAGCCTTTAATGCCTGATCCCAACCACTAGCCAACAAGCAAATGATCTCCTTAAGACTTGAACATCAGAAAAGGAACAAAGAGAATTACCAACTTAAAAAACGTGAACCTGAAGTCATGCCCTGTGAATACCACAGAAATTCAGCAGAAGGACACCACAAGCTGTAAATACCACACAGAAGATCAGCAAAAATTGCAAGAACTTCAGAAAAGTAGCTAAGATAGGCACCAATACCTTGAATTTGGATCACATCTCTCAGTTAGGTTGAAAGTCTTGTCAAAAGGGGGGACTCGTTCAGAAAGGGACAACAGCACCCAAATGGAATCACTTATGCTAAGTCCATGTCATCAAACTGAGACTTAATACCCATCTTAATTACAGTTTTAGCATCTCCCCGGAATGGAATCTTAAATCAGTCAATCTGGAATTAACTGGTCAGCACTAGTGAGGTAATCTGCCTGATAGACCTCTGCCATCCCCTAAAGGAGATGACCTTGCCACAACCGATCTACTTTTTACTAGCCTAAGTTCCTGTCCCTCTTCCATCTGCCTGTAAAAGTCTTTCATTTTGTACAGCTCCGCAGAGCTTTTTTTTTTTTTTTTTTTTGACAGAGAGAGAGACAGTGAGAGAGGGAACACAAGCAGGGGAAGTGGGAGAGGGAGAAGCAGGCTTCCCACTGAGCAGGGAGCCTGATGCGGGGCTCGATCCCAGGACCCTGGGACTATGACCTGAGCCAAAGGCAGACACTTAATGACTGAGCCACCCAGGCGCCCCTACTCTGCAGAGCTTTTATCAGCTAGATGGGATGCTGCCCAATTCATGAATCAATGAATAAAGCCAATAAAGTCCTTAAAATGTACTCAGTTGAATTTTGTTTTTTAATACTGCTCAAAAACATGAATCTCTACCTAAGAGGATTTAAGGTATGTTCCCTGAAGACTAGTTACAATGGTTTTATTTTTAACCCCTCCATCCTCAAATAAATGAAATAACATCTAATATCAAGGAAAGAAGGAAGAAAGGGAAGAGCGAGGGGAAGAAGGGGAGTAAAGGACCTATCAGTGGGAAGTATCTCACTATGAGGTAGTGAATCAGGATTTGGAGTCAGACAGTCCAGCAAACCTGGAGCTAAAATCTTACTGACATCACTTATGAGTATGTTCCAAGTCCACTCACTTCTTTACACCTCAGTTCTCTCATCCCTAAAGTTAGGGGATAATACCACCAATTTTGTTAAGTTATTATGAAGATTTAATGACAATGTATGTAAGAAAACTTGCCAAGTTCCTGGCACATATCAGGCATTTAATAAAATTGTAAAATTCCTTATTCTTGAATGCATAATCCAAGTTGTACTCTTCAAATAGTCTTACTGATTTGCTGCCTTTAGGATGCACAGGAAAGAACTAATTCCAACATTTTTTCTGCTCTCTTCACAGCAAATTATGAACAGTACAACATACGTGGGAAGTTCATTTCTTTTTCTGTTAAAGCATGGAATTGTCATATGAGGTGAGAAAATACGTCATCTTCCATTCTGAACAACAGTTAGCAAATAAAATGTTGCAGACAAACTGAGAGGTAGAATAGGATAGCAAGTTTAGGAATGTGCGTAAAAAGCTGCATTGTAGTCCACAAAAAAGGGTGGACTTACATTTGAGTTAATGTGCTTATTTCTAAGACAAATGTTTTGGTGTTTATCCATTTACTGGCTCCTGTGTTTCAAAGGCATCTGTACAGTAGATTAGGAAAGTTTAGGAGCAGATAACAGGACTAAAAATAGCGCAAAAGTCAACTCAGAGTCCAGATATCTCCAAGACATGCCTAACACTTTATAAAAGTGATAGATGACCAATGATAATATGGACAAGAAGGATGGAACACCTTCAGAAGGGGCGATAATAAGCATGAACTTGTCAGCATTAAATGCAGGAAAAGGGAATGGAAGACAAAGGGGCTTGATATTAAGGAAAAGGAAAAAACAAAACAGTGGTTAAAATGCAACAAAATAATCTGAAATTTCTCATTGCCCCTCTTCATCAATGACTACAAAGTATACTTAGTTATTTATCCTTATGCTGGAGGGGCTTTTAAAACCTATAATACTATGGGTATGAGTAGTTCTGTGGTCACTCAGGCTCAGAAAATCTAGTCACTGATGCATAAGCTTTTCACCAGAGGTGTTTTTCTGGATGTAGTTATAGTTCCTTTCCTTGATAAAGGGTTACATGCTACCTGAATCTCCAACGACATTTGATTCTGTCTTCTTTGGCCTTAGATTCCGGAGAAACATACTCAGATTGAGGAGTATTTAGCGCTAACCAAGTAAAACAAATGAATTCTAACTGATATACCTGTACCCTCTCTTTGTTTCCCTATGTATCCGAATTGTCCACCTTTCTGTTGCTCACTGCACTGAATTTTGTGGCTGGAAGGGGTCTGATAAGTCATCTAATCCTCTCTTTCATGATGGAGAAACTGTCACTACAACATCCCCCAAGGAGATACCCTGCCCTCTGCAAAAGGTAGCCCATTCCTCTACCTCTCATTTTTAGAAAGTTCATCCTTATGATTGTATCACAAACTTTCCCTGAATTTTTTCCCATTAGTTATGGTTATTTCCTCTGGAACATCTCAAATGCACCTCCATTTTTCTCTACAAATTAGCCCTATAGATCTTGTGAAATACACAAGAAACAAATACATACAAAAAACAACCATGTCTTAAATTTCTTCCTCTCAAAAGCTAACATCCAGGATTCTTTCAAGCACTTCTGTTTCAGGATAGCATTTATCATCCTCCTAATCCCTTCTGCACTATTGACTATGCCACCCATCCCACGAACCAGTTTCACACTTATATTCATAGTGCCTTACATCTCACAGGCACTTTGCTAGTCATCCAGGACATACTGGGAATCAAACAGCCCCACAAACAGACCCACAGGGCCAAGGTGGGAAAGGCGGGAAAGACTGCCCTAAGGGACTTAAGACTGAATTAAGATCTGAAGGAAGAGTAGATACTAACTAAGGGAGGATGGTGAGGGGACACCTGGAACAAAGGCCCTGGCTGGGAAGTGGCAAGGGAACAGGGAGAAGTGGAAGAAGGGCACTGTAGCTGGGGTGCAGAGAGAAAGGGAGGCAAGATAAGCATGCATCAGGAGAGAGGATCCGGGCCAGACCACATAAGACCCTCCATGTTGGGCAACTTTGTCTTGATCCTACAAGTGAGTAGAAAGAAGCCAATGAAAGAATGTAAGCGTGAGGCTAGGGAATTTCCTGTCAGGTTTGTGTTCTCCAGAAGACCTCTCTGGCTATAGTGGGAAGAACTGCTTAGACAGGACAATGAGGGACAGAGGAAGACCAGTAAAAAGGCTGTTACAGCATTTCAGACAAGACGTGATGACGGCCTCTGGGCTATGGTGGTGAGAGAGAAGACAACAGATGGATTGGAAGGATGTTTAGGGATAGAACTGAAAGGACTTGGCAATAAACTAGATATTGACTGAGCGAGCAGAAAATGCCAAAGATGACTCCTAGGTCTCTGCCTGAGTAATAGATGGATGGTGATGGTGCCATTTTCTCAGACAGAGAAGACAAGTTTGGGAGAGGGGAAGAACAGGAGAGTGGGTGCTGATGACCAGAAAGCCAAGCTCTCAATTACAATTCTCAGGCATCTTGGAGGTTATGCAATGCTGCAGACTGAATGTTTGTGTCTCCCCCACCCCAAATTCGTATGTTGAATTCCTATCCCCCCAATGTGATGGTATTAAGAGGGGGCCTTTGGGAGGTGATTAGGTCATGAGGATGGAGCCCTCATGAATGGGATTCATGCTCTTAAAAATGAGACCCTGAAGAGTTAGTTCCTTCATCTCCTTCTGCCATGTGGGGTTACACCTGAGAGGTCGGCAGTCTGCAACCAGGAAGAAGGCTTTCACCAGACATGGAAACTGCCAGCCCCTTGGTCTCAGACTTTCAGCCTCCAGAAATGTGAGAAAAAAATTTCCATGGTTTATAAGCCACCCAGTCTATGATTTTTTTTTAAAGATTTATTTATTTATTTGATTGTTTATTTGAGGAAGAGACAGAGAGCATAGAGGGAGAGGGGGAGGGAGAGGGAGAAGCAGACTTCCCGCTGAGCAGGGAGCCCAATGCGGGGCTCGATCCCAGGACCCTGGGATCATGACCTGAGCCGAGGGCAGACGCTTAACCGACTGAGCCACCCAGGCGCCCCCCAATCTATGTTATTTTATTGTAGCAGCCTGAATGGATGAAGACATGGAGAAAACCCCTGGAGGCTTTTTTGGGTAAATACCTCCTTTTTTTCTTTATAATTTCTCCCTTCAGATAGAGATGACTGTTACGATTACCACGATAAAATGATTCAACTTTTAATGTCACATTTAATAGTCAGAAATATTAAGGTTCAGCTTCATATTATTATATCAATTTAACTGCCAGTGTTACCTATATATAATCACACGAATTTCTGCACAGGAGTATGGTGGGATCTCTGCCCGCTATCTTACATTCTACCAGATAATCTTTTCCTCTTGGTTCTGGAGGAGAAAAGATTTTTTCCTACCCAAGCACAAGGACATGGGCCAAATGCCTTTAATTTCCCCCTGAGATGGTCATTTGCACGATCAATAGTATCTCATGACTTTTTTAAAGAGGCTTTAAAAAATGGATAACTTTGGTTTACGCTCAAGATATAACCAACTCACTTTAAGGAGCTAAAGCCTCTTAACATTTCTTAAACCAAGCTGTAGTGAAATTTATATCATTTCACCTAGAGCCTGCATCAACCACTCGAAACCCTTATGTAACGTTTCAAATCTCCACATGGATTTATTGGGGGGTGTGAAGGGAGTCCTTAATTTTTATATTGTTATTCAGAGCAGGTATAAGAGCCAAAGTGAAGAGCAAAGTTTCTAATGTTCAAATTAAATCCAAATATTTATTTAACAACCCAACTTTGAGGTTAGCATTCATTAAGTAACCCAGCAAGAAATAAAAATCCAGTGACCCTGTTTGAAACCTTTTCTTAAGCCATTGAAAAGAAACTTTAGAACAACCTCCAATAATATTTTGGTTCTAATCCTTAATTAAAATATAGCTACTGTACATGCCCCCTGGTCCTCAGAGACCACTCTCCTCATTTTAAGCAGATTCATCAGAGCAGGTCTCGAGCCAAATACACCTGCTGTGACTGCAGTGTGTAGTTTTTGGCTCATTTTATAAACATTTGAGTACAGCTCTTTCTACTCATTGAGACTATAAGCATCACAGAGGGGCCGCCTAGTTCATTTTTATATTTTTATCCCTTGTAAATGTGTTCCACACACAATATATATGAGAAAAATTGCTTAATAACTGAAGGAATTAAGGAATTCCATTAGACAAAATGACCAAGCAGAGCTCTATTAAGCTCTGCATTCAGTCCCATCCAGGCCAACATTTTTTGTCCATATTTATATAAGGACATTCATAATAATATGATTACATTTTCAGATAATAAGAATATAGAAAGATAGTAAAAAAAATTAGGTGGATTAATTTTGTTGGAAGATGATATTATACCAATTCAAGGGTCAAATTCCAATATATATGTGTGTGTATATGTGCATATATATATATAGTACATGTATATATTGTATACATGTCCCTGGCCCCAAAGGCCACTCTCCTTATTTTAAGCAGAGTTACTGTTAAATAAGCAAGACATGTCAGGTCAGCTCATAGATGATATTTCTTGTTCAGAAAGAAGTCTTTCTGTCCAACAGAGCAAAGCACCATCAGCACAGATCATCCCCAATTCTTGTCCATGAATTAACCATCCTGTGTTTTCTGACGCCTCATCTATAGAACACAAAGAAGAGATTCAAGTCCATGAGCCTACTGAAGGACAGGATAAATTGAGAGACAAGAGCTCAAACCAGTAGACTCTTCTCTGTCTTAGTCTTTCATGAGGGAGGTTTATTTCTTATTGACGAGTTGACCTTCAGGCATTACCTGCCCTCTAGACCCAGCCTAGAGAATCCTTTTCTCTTTGTTTGGTAGTCATATTGCCCCCTTCTACATCTCTGCTAAGACTCACAATACACCCTGGAAAGAGCACTGAACTTGGAGTCAAACAGGCAAAATCTAACCCCAATACTCTGGTTTCTCTTCAGATCCCAGCACTGATCCAAATGAGCTGTGTGAACTTGGCCAAATCTCTTAACCTCTAGTTCCACATTCATAAAACAAATTGCACCGTTTTCCCTAGATCTCGCCAGCCTCTGTTTACTAAAAATAATCCCATTTTCACCATGCCTTGCCCTCCCCTGCATCACAGCATCTCGGCCCTTGACTTCCCCAACCTCCACATTCACTCATTCAGTTCTATAAATGTATCACCTACTATGCGCCTTATTTATTTTTGGCACTGGGACTAAAATAGCAAGCGAGAATAATCATGTTCCCTGCACCGCGGTGAACAAGATTTTCACTTAAAGGGGCGCCTGGGTGGCTCAGTCGTTATGCATCTACCTTCAGCTCAGGTCATGATCCCAGGGTCCTGGGATCGAGCCCCGCATTGGGCTCCCTGCTCGGCTGGAAGCCTGCTTCTCCCTCTCCCACTCCCCCTGCTTGTGTTCCCTCTCTCGCTGTCTCTCTATCAAATAAATAAAATCTTAAAAAAAAAAAAAAAGGTTTTCACTTAAAGAAGAACATTCTGACTGCTATGAGGAACTTGGATTGTCAGGTAACGAGAGTGAGTGCAGAGACCCAAATTCAGGTGCTGTTGCAATGGTCCAAGCAAGAGAGGATGACACAGCAGGGTTAGTAGGTGAAGATGGAAGATTCAGTGACTATTTTATTTTATTTTTTATGATTTTATTTATTTATCTGACAGACAGAGCAAGAGAGCACAAGCAGGGGGAGCAGTAGAAGGAGAGGGAGAAGCAGGCTCCCTGCTAAGCAAGGAGTCCGATGCGGGACTCAATCCCAGGACCCCGGGATCATGACCTGAGCCGAAGGCAGATGCTTAACCATCTGAGCCACCCAGGTGCCCCTCAGTCACTATTTTAGAAGTAGAATTGACTAGTCTTGTTAAGAGATTGCAAAGGGGAGGTGAGGGAGAGAGGGGGAGGTACCAAGGTGACTCCCATGTTTCTGGTTTGAGCTTTGGTGCTGATTGATGGACCTGGGGAGTAGCAGGTTTGAGGACAGAGCTTGTGAGTTCTCTCCTTCAGTCTGCAACAGGCACAAGACATTCAGATGGAGATGTGAAATAGGCCACTGTATATACAAGGCGGGAGTGCACTGGGGATAGATATTTGGGAGTTGGCAGCAATAGGTGGTGTTCAAAGCCGTAGAAATAGAGGAGCTCACCAATGGAGAGAGAGTAGACTGTCCCATATAAGCTCACAAACTGTCTTCTCTTATCATTTGGTGCTGGCTCCCATGAAGAGTATCTGTACCAGTGGCGCTAACCCCTAAGAGCAGCATTCCCTGGGGCGCCTGGGTGGCTCAGCCAGTTAAACATCTGCTCAGGTCATGATCCCAGGATCCTGGGATCGAGCCCCATGTCGGGCTCCCTGCTCGGCGGGGAGCCTGCTGCTCCCTGTCCCTCTGCCCCTTCCACCCTGCTCGTGTGTGCTCTCTTTCTCTCAAATAAATCAATAAAATCTTTAAAAAAAAAAAAGAAAGAAAAGAGCAGCATTCCCTCGGGGTTCATAGGGCCCTCGATTCTCTGTAGGCCTCATTGGGACGAAGCCAAGGCTACAGTCTGCCCTCAAGTGGAGCAGATTCTCCCCTCCTCACTCAGTGTCCCGCTCGGTCACCTGAGTCACAGAGCAGGCTGCTGGGGCTCCAGTACTCAAGAGAATATTGCCTGCAAGCCTCACTCTTCCCACAAGCTCAGACATCTACCTCTAAGCCAGACCCTGGCTATTCGCATTAGACCCAAAGAAGAGAACTGCAACAGTATAGCCTCATGAATGTGTCAGTGCAGCTGCCGAAACTCATCTGAGAGCTCTCTGAGGCTCAAGCTGTGTCCCCCTGACCACCACCACCACCACCACGCCACCATTTGAATAATGCTGTTCAGAAAGGTTTCATTGTCTAATGTTCCCAAACTTCCACACCTGCATCTAATTAATGACCTTAATATTCTACTTAGGCTTTGTGAAATAGCCGCTATAATAGAGTCTAGGAATGCAAAGGATCAGATCTTTGTTCTCAATTTGATAAATAACCTGTCTACCCACTGATTGGCATAGCACGGTAGGAATAATGATGAAAACTCCCAAACAAACCAGCCCTTAGGTCAAACCTTCACGTTGGCGTGACACCAAGTGCAAGGGGGGAGAATCCTGAGGAGAAGCGTTTGTGGACAAGGCAAGTGTAACAATGGCCCTGACTGGGATATACGGGGGCCTTCCAGGCCCAGTCGAGGCATGAGTAGGGCCAGGCAAGGAGGTGCGCCCCAGAGGCAATCTTTGTTGAGTCACTGCTACACCCGCTTGCACCAGGCTCCGGGGGGGTCTGAGAGAACAAAGAACAAGATACCACTCCGTGTCACATGTCTGGGTGCACATACACATGTAAGCAAATGGCTTACTACATATTATATAGTAAGGGGCTGTATTAGACACAGACTATCTTGGAAAAGGAAGAGCTGAGCTTCACTCTTCCTAGCAAAGCTGGAAAAAGATTTTTTACAGAGCCTATTTAACCTAAGTCTTGAGGGATGTGTAGGTGATCTCCAGGTGGGCAAGTTATAAGTAAAGGACAGAATTCTAGGTTATAGGGAGGACAGTCAGGTTATAGGGAGGAGAAGAAACAGTGTGCCTCGGGTAGTATTTTCCAAGTGGGTGAACACAACATGGGTGGGGGACCCAATGGTGCTAGATGGAATCAGAGGAGATTTTAGGTAGCATGTAGACACTACGTTAAATAACGAATTCCTTGGAATTGATAAAGTTGGCTATCTTTTAATTCCCTTCCATCTCTGCCCAGGAGAAATGTCTCAGTTGGCTATTAGGATGCTAATCTTCCTTCTTAACAGAGTAGGTTTCAGGCTCAGAGGTTCCCCAGGTAACAGTGTCTAGCTAGAATTTAATATTATTTTGTTTTTATTATATTTATGTTCTTTTTTTAAAGATTTTATTTATTTATTTGACACAGAGAGAGAGACAGCGAGAGAGGGAACACAAGCAGGGGGAGAGGGAGAGGGAGAAGCAGGCTCCCCGCCGAGCAAGGAGCCCTATGTGGGGCTCGATCCCAGGACCCTGGGATCATGACCTGAGCCGAAGGCAGATGCTTAACGACTGAGCCACCCAGGTGCCCCTATATTTATGTTTCTCTTCTGTTTACGGTAAATGACAGTGGTTTTCCATTTATAGTAGTTATATAAATTTTTCTTTCTAAACAAACTTAAGTTTAAGAAGTAAGTGATTTGCTTGGCAACTGCTTTGCAATGTGGTTCGAGATTCTATCTGGGGACCGGCGTCATGGCTGTGGGCTTGCTCATTCCGGGCATAGCCACTGCGCACATCCCCAGGTCCACTAACAGGGGTGAAGAAAAAAGCCTTGCCCATTATTCATATCAGTGGAATTGGATGGAAAGAGGCATGTCTCTGGGGTTTGTTACTATGTGTCAAAGGGTTTGGAGAATATCCACTAAGGAAGCATTTTCCTGATTGGTGAAAAATAACTCCATTATGCTCACCTACCCCTTCTAGAAGGTTATGCAGTGTATTAATGTAGTGCATAATAAAAAGAGCAAAAAAGTAAAAAAAAAAAAAAAAAGCAAGCGATTTATATGCAAATATAGAAAAATATTAAGAAGTTAATCACACCATGAACTCATGGTAAGAATTATGACAGTGGCATGTGAACATCTGAAGTGTTAGAAATACTTTCTAGGAGAAAGATTAGCAGTTTGCTATGTTGCTATCACAGTGTTAGTATAGATCATTCAGAGATCAAGCATGGTAAAATGGGTCAAGCTTTTTTCTTTTCCCCTTTTAAGTAAACTCTACCAATGTGGGGTTAGAACTCATGATCCTGAGATCAAGAGTTGCAAACTCCACCAACTGAGCCAGCCAGGCTCCCTCAAATAGGTCAAGTTTAAAGCCAGGCAGACAGGAATTCCAATCTCCCTTCAATACTTTCTAGGTGGGTGGCCTTGGGCAAGGGCTCTTGAGGTCTTTGTCTTACTTTCCTCACCTTTATACTAAGAGTCCATATTACAGGACTGTAAGCATCAGAGACAACAGATATGCAGGTCCTAAAATTATAGACATTATTAACCTTCTTTATAACTTTCCAACAAGCTTTCCAAGGTTAGCCATGACTGACTCTGACCTAATTTCTCTAATTCTGTGAGACAGTCTGTCTGCAGAGCTGTTAATTGGTTTCAGAAAAGAACTGAATGTGTTATTTTTCTTTATTTCTCCATTAATTTGTATAGAAAGTTAAAAAACCGCACAATGGTCATGATTGCCGGGTCATCCTAAATGGCTGTAAACTGGGGAGGGGAGACCACCCACCCAGTCCAAGTCGGAGGATCCATGTTGTATTCTAATGTTCTTCTGAATGCATTTTGTAACATTTTTTTTTTAAAGATTTTATTTATTCATTTGAGACACAGAGATACAGAGAGAGAGAGAGAAAGCATGAGCAGGGGAGAGAGGCAGAGGGAGAGGGAGAAGCAAGCTCCTCGCTGAGCCAGGAGCCCGATGTGGGGCTCGATCCCAGGACCCTGGGATCATGACCTGAGCTGAAGGCAGACGCTTAACCATCTGAGCCACCCAGGTGCCCCTGTAACATTTTTTAAACAAACAAAATAAATAAACCGCACAAGCACTATAGACACAGCTCTGAAAACCACTGAGAAGAGGTGTGTGTGTGGGGGGAAATAACTTAATCCACATTCCATGGTTCCAGCCCATCCTTTCAGCCACTCCCCACTCCCCACTGCCCACACCCCTCCAACCCCTATTATAATGAGGCCCGAAGAAGCCTGTGATGCAGACTTAATGAGTGTGGTAGACCACGACTCAGAGGACCACCACCCAGGTCTCTGGCTTTCCACTTCAAAAGCAAGCACCTGCTGACAGGGGGAAACCAAAAGATTTCTCTGATAATCAGGACACCTTGCCTAAGTAAGAGATAAACTGGACCAGCCCAACCCCCTTAGTAAGCACAATCTGAATTTCCAGCTCTTGTAAAATCATTAGAGCACGGCATAAAAGCGCTTTCCTCTGGAACAGTAATAATGATTTTCATCTTCCAAATTAAGCATTGACTTTTTGGGAAACCTGTCATTAGAGGATTTTCTGTCTGCTGAGCTTTGCTTTCACTTCCTGGAAGTGTTTTATTAAAGTAGGTCATCTCATTCAAATACAGAACACTACTAATATCTCCCATGCAGTTTTGCAGTTCTAGTTATAAGCAGGATGTACAAGCAATTTATGATTCTTCCATGTGGATATACATTTGTCCTTTACCATGGTCATACTTTTTCCGAAATGAGCCACCAGATTTAAATAGATCGCATACTGCCATTTCTTCTTCTAATTTGGTACAATTCAGAAATGCTGTTTTTAGAAATGTCTTCTCATAGATTGTAAGGGCTAGAATGAAATACATCTCAAAACAATAAAACGAAAGCATGATTTTAAACAAGAAGTGATCATTTTAACCATTTTTTGTTTATGTTTATACTCCCACATGCTAGAGTCTACTACTAGAAACCCTAACTTTTGATTGGCTAAAAAGGCTGAAAACTGCAGTGCCCCATACCCTGCCCTCCACTAAAAAAGTTGACTAATTACTTCTGAATGATCATCATAGCTTGTTAGTGATCTGTTTGAGGCTATCATATTTACAGTCTACACAATGTTTCTTGTTTTGCAAATCCTGGTGATATTAATATAGCCACAAATACACACAAGAAGACAAGTGTATTTCTAGGATCTAATACTTTTATTTGTCAAGATATTAATAGTTTAAAATTTGTATTTCCTGCCCTAAAAAGCTGTCAAGGAGTCTACAATTTAACTCTGATAGAGTAGTTTGGTCTAGCTATTCAGAAAAAGGAAAAGCGCATGGTTTTATTATAGAACTTGAGCTTAATGTCAGGATCCAAATGTTCCAAGCTCAAATAAATCTTCACAAGCCTGCTTGCTTTTGTGATTGCTAAATCCGAATAGCCGCAAGCAGGAGCCGACCTGTGCCTATAAACATGTAAACCAGCAAACACTAAATCATTCAGTCACATAAAAGCAACACCCAAAAGCAAACACTAGTTATCCTTAAAGATAATATAAACAAAATGATACCTGTTCTTCAGCTTTTTGGTTTCTCAGGATCGAGAGGTATTTCCTAATTGCATGGAGAGGATATTTTTTGAAGTAAGAGAATCTAGACTGAGGCAACAGATTATCCATGGTGAGGAAAGTAAGAAGGTTCTCGTCTGCCCCACCCTGTCAGCAACCATATGAAGTCTCAAAGCTTCACAGTTCCTCAGATGCCTAAAGATTTGCTTGTAGCTTGATCACTTTCCTGCAAACAAAGCAAATGTTCTTGCTGCTTCCTCTTTTGGGTAGGGTTCCTGGTGAAACCAGACAGCCAAGTTCGAGCGCCGACCATCTAAGAGCGTCCGGAAATACACTGCCCAAAGGGCACTGGGAGCCAGGAGGAATTTAGGGTCTGGTCCACAGAATGCAAATTGCTTAGTGGTAGTGATGCGATTGTCCTATTTCTAGCAACGGCGTTCTGTTGCAAGCTGTGTTAATATTAGCTAGCTGGTGACTTTCCACACCCACAGACTCTCGTGAGGTTTAATCTTAATTCTTCTGACAGCTTTTCTGGCTCTTAAAGAGGACATGACATGTGGGGTTGTTTTTTTTTTTTTTCTGTTTCCTTCTAGATTTTTTTTATCAGCATGAGCACACACACAGGGACATCCCTTGGCTGTGACTCAGCTCAAAAGTGTTGATTCATTCAGTCTTGAGAAGCTTTGTTTTAGGGGACTTATAAAAAAAGGAACAATTTACTTCACTCTTCACTATTATCAAGGAGTTCAGTGTCAGCACTTAAGAGGTTTGGTTTACGCTGTCATGCATTATGCAACATGCCCAGTAACCAGATACTTTACGTTAATTGAACAATAGCTGCAAATAGATTCTGTTCTGAGTTAAAAGCCTTCTCTCCTTGAATCCTTATCTCAAATCCACAGGCTGAATCCAGGAACATTAAATTTCCCCAGGCTTTATTCCGAATAGAAGGGAGAAAAAATGTTACACATTTACTTTCTAAGTATTATACAAAGGATTCATGCTTTAAAAAAGAGAACTGGGTAAGAGGTCTGCAGTCTCAGAGGACGTGAAATCATAAAATTTGAAAGCTCAATATTTTCTTAATACTCTGTAGAAGTCACAGGGTTTCTGAACAAAGTTTCCAAGTAGGCTTTGCTCTTTTGTTATCCTTTTTAACATTGTAGTAGCTGGTTCACTTGATGGGAACATTTGGCCACTTTGGTGAGGGGTTGTCATGTAGAGTGTCTAGGCCAGACATCAACCCCAAAATCATGAGGCCCAGAGCTGTGCTTTCAAGAGGAAGGAGAGAGCTGGTCTGTTTCCTTTCAGAGGCAGCACTGTTGGGGAGGAGGGGTGAGCGGAGCTGGGAACCCACGTCGCAGACTGTGCTGTCCCCCTGGACAGCCGCCCTGCCACTCCTGGCTGGGCCACTAGCCTTCAGGGAACATACTTGATGGGCCTAATGTGGGTCATGCTGCAGCAGCCCAGGCCATCTGTCAGGCTGGCCTTGGGCCCACTTGCAAGGTGATCCTCCATGCTCACCAGGACCAGGCTGGCAATTCCAAGAAGTCATTTACATAATGCTGCCGGGCTGGCTTCCAGGAGGAGGAGGCTCTGCCCTCCTGCCCCTGCTTTAGGCGCAAGGCTGGCCGGCTTTTCCGGTGTCCTCTGTATGCTGGAGACAGCCAACTCTAATGAGGTCCAGCGGCAAGCACTGTGCTTGCGAACCACCAGAATGCTAAGGGCAGCGTCGTGCACTCCCTGCAGCTCACAGCTCAGAGAGACAAGGCGCGTGAACACCCAGACACCCTGGCCCTGGAAAGAGGGGAGGCCCTTGAAGCTTGGGGAGGAGGAGAGGTTGCCATTTATACACACCCTCGAGGAACCCGCGAGCTGCCTTTTTCCCTTCCTTTTTTAAAATATCTAAACCTTCAGAGATGCCTCTTCGCCTGGGCAGAAGCGGGCAGCCTGCCAAACACCCACAGCTCGGCTGTGATCAAAGCCTTTTTCCCAACGGATGGACACAAAGCAGACTTCATTTCAAACGGTTGTTTCATGATCACCTTCTCCTGGTTTAATGAAAAGAGATGGGGAAGGGGTGGGTCGGGGAAGAGGAAAGAAAACCCAGACTGAAACTGTCCTGGCTAGATTTGGCATAAAAAGAAAAATTGGTGAACCGAACACAACTAAAATTGGTGACAAATATAATTCATATCTAATATGTATCGGGTCTTTCCGCCAGGCTCTGTGTTAAATTCTTGACATTATTCATGTAAGACTACAGCAGCATCCAGGGGGGAAACTGAGGCTCACAGAGGGTAAACAACTTTCCAAGGTCACACAGCTACAAAGCCGAGGAGAAGGGACTCCACCCAGGTGGACTGACGCACCAGAATCTCCCGAGTCTCCGTTCCCAGTCAGTATACAGCACAGCCTCTTAGCCCACCTCCAGAAATGGATTCCCAAGAGCCTCTTTACAGATGAATCTAACAAAGGAAAGGCATGGAGTTGCCTTGCTAATGAGAAATACAAACGTAGACTGCTAGGAATTTACAGGCTAAGAATTATTAGATTAGAGATCAGGTGCATCTTCGTGTAAAATCATACAACTCCCTATCCTGGATTCTGCATAACTAAGGCTAATACTCATTATTTACTCATAAAGCTTCCTTTCTGGATGATTCTAGTGATCTTGAAAAGAGGTTGTACTCATAGATACAGATTTTCTGCTCCCCTAACTTTGAAGACTACCATAATCTCAGTTTCTGTTTGACATAGGCTACGATGGTTAATTTCGGTCACCATTTATTTTAAAATTTTATTTGTTTTTGCGAGAGAGTGTGCACGCATGTGCACAGGTGGGGGGAGGGGCAGAGGGAGAGGGAGAAGCAGACTCCCCGCTGAGCAGGGAGCCCGATGTGCGGCTCGATCCCAGGACCCCAGGATCAATCAGGACCTGAGCCGAAGCCAGGTGCTCAACTGACTGAGCCACCCAGGTGCCCAATTTTGCTCACTATGTATACAGATATGATGTGGGAGAGTCACAGTCCCGTTGTATTCACCCAGTAAGGACATGTCTGCCATCTCAGCCTGGAGGAGTGCTGGTTTGATTGCCACTGTGACTCAGTTGCCTTAGTGAATGGCAGTTGACTGGAGATCGGGTGGCTACAGTGTACATCCGCAAGGACCGAGAGAACCCAGGGGACCTGCCCAGCGGTGAGGGTTTATTCTGCTCCCCCTGCAAAGTGGCACAATATGGAGTGGAAGCGATCACCTGTTATTTGTACAACTCACTGCCTGCCACCGCTTGTCTTCTATTCGATAGAAAAATAACCAGCAGAGGGGCACCTGGGTGGCTCAGTCATTGAGCGTCTGCCTTCGGCCAAGCTCATGATCCCAGGGTCCTGGGATGGAGCCCCGCCTCGGGGTCCCTGCTGGGCGGGAGCCTGCTTCTCCCTCTCCCACTCCCCCTGCTTGTGTTCCCTCTCTCGCTGTCTCTCTCTCTGTCAGATAAATAAATAAAATCTTTAAAAAAAAATCAGGATGAGAAACAGGAACGGAAACCAGAAAGCGTGTCTCCAGGATGCCTCTGAGTTGATGGTGTTTCCAAAGTGCATCAGGACAAACACCAAAACCCCACTAATCCCCCTTCTCTTTCTCCTTTCAATCAGTGCTGAGAGTTTCTGTCAGGAAAATGACTTCATTCTCTGGGAATTAATCCAGCCCAGAGATAAAATGAAGGGCAAGCAGTGAGAATGATGGAGAAGCAGCTAGCCCAGAAAACAGAAACCATTTTTTATTATGAATTCCACCGAGAAATCACTCTCATCCCACTAGGTCTGTGGATATTCGCTCAGTTTCTTGCTCCCCCAAGGACAGCTCTAAATGCAATCAGGCGAGGGGAAAGGGAGGTTTTCACCATTGCTCCTTAGGGCAAGTATATGCAGCACCAACATTCTACCTTTTGCGTGAGGAAATTTTCTGTGCTACTTGATATGATGATATTTTCTCGGTGCTCCCACCATATAGGGAGTAATCATCTTACACCTGCAGATGGTGGATTTTTACTTTCCCAAAATCCACAATCAACCCCCGTCCCCCTGTTCCTGTTACAACCACAATTCAACAGTTTCGGTGTTTCTATTTACTCTGTGAGCTATACAACTTTTACGCCTTCTGCTTTCTGGCTTCAAGTATTGATTTCTTGAACTTCACAATACCTCTGAACCCCTGGGACACTTGTCCTCCACTTAGGAAGAAGACGTTTTTCTGCATTGGTTAAAACAAACTTGAACATGCATCCGAATCACCTGGAGGGCTTGTTGAACCCCCATCACTGGCCCCACCCTCACGGTTTCTGATTCAGTAGGTTGGGGGCGAAGAGTGAGATTTTGCATTTGTATTAACTTCCCAGGTGTTGCTGATGCTGGTGGTCCAGGGACCATGGGCTTGGGTGCTGTCAGGTAAGACGTGGGGCTGTGGAGCGATTTGTCAGGTGGAGGTTGAAGGGTAGAGATCTTGTGCTGGAGCATTTGAGAGCTCCCATCAGAATCACATTTTATTTTATTTTTTTAAGATTTTATTTATTTATTTGAGAGAGAGAGAGAAAGAGAAACAGCACAAGCAGAGGGAGAGGGACAGGGAGAGGCAGGCTCTCCGCTGAGCAGGGAGCCCGATGTGGGGCTCGATCCCAAGACCCTGGGATCATGACCCAAGCTGAAGGCAGACGCTTAACGACTGAGCCACCCAGGCGCCCCTAGAATCACATTTTAAAATGTACTTCCCTGGCAGTGGCGGGATTTCCCCCAGCTCATTTCTTTCATAGCCACTCTTCCGTGAGGGAGCTCCTGCAGTTATCAAGCTTCAAGTGCACCTCCCACCCAGTTCTGTCTTCTCAGTGATCTCTTGACCTGATAGGGGATTGCTCTCAAACTCTCCCTCGGTTCCTCTTACCAAGCTGACGCACACTAGCAGTCGTCTCAGCTCAGGGAGACAACCCTTCCTTTAAGTTCAGCGCCAGAAACCACAGCCAGCTGTACACAACACTCCCTCTCTCCCTTTTCTGCCACTAACACCGTGTTCCATTCCACTTGGAGAAGGGGGAATCTCGGACTTGGAACAGGCAGGCCCTTCATGTCAAGAATCTCCAAAATCGGGCTCCCTGCTCGGCGGGAAGCCTGCTTCTCCCTCTCCCACTCCCCCTGCTTGTGTTCCCTCTCTTGCTGTGTCTCTCTCTGTCAAATAAATAAATAAAATCTTTAAAAAAAAAAAAAAAGAATCTCCAAAATCACGGTTTTCCACAAACCGCTCCCTAAGTGTAATCTGTTCATCTAATGCAGTTTGGGCAGGAGCCTCCACTAACTCTGTCTCCTTTCATCCAGTCTTTTTTTTTTTTTTTTAAGATTTTATTTATTTGACAGAGAGAGACACAGCGAGAGACAGA